TCCGTGGACTACGAAACGCGTCTCGCGATGCTTGATCTCTTTCCCCTGGAGTACCGTCGCCTCCGAAGGGACCTAATTCTTACTTGCGCCCTGTTTGAACAAAGCTTGGCAAACAGGTTTTTTACCGTTGACCTAGCAAATACACGACGTGGACATAGAAGATTTTCAAGCTCAGAGCACACAAATTCATTAGGTGACTTTTTTTCTAATTTCGAGTAGTAGCTGCGTGGAATGACGTTCCTCCGACGGTTGTCCACGCTCCTTCTAGAACCCAGTTCAAAGCACTCTAGACATGCGTATCTTCGAGCTGGCTAGCATACAGCCTCGCGCATAAAGATCAGCGCTACACCCTTTTTTCACTTCTGCCTTTCAGGTGAACGACATCCACTGACCGACAAGAACAAAACCGCCCCGGGAAACTTGGGCAAAAGCCTCGATCCTGTGTATCAACCCGTGAATCCGTGAATTCCTGTGAAACCAAGTATAAGACTACCGGCAATTTGAAAATGACCTTGACGTTATCTCGGTGCTTACGGCGATCAGCCAGCGCAGTGTTTATACGATGTCTTAGTGTAGGTCAACACAAAGGCGGTTACAAATTAGCTGTAAAACCAGATGAAGAAGAAACTATTCAATCTGGTTTAGACTCTCTTACGCGGCTGCTGCTACTATCAGAAATAGCCAAAGGTATTACAGTTCAGATGCAATAAATCCTTTTTCTCGATAGGCTTTAGAATGGTCCTCGGCATGCTGTTTAAAGAACCGGCCACAATTAACTATCCGTTCGAAAAAGGCCCCCTGAGCCCCAGATTTCGGGGTGAGCACGCTTTGCGACGTTATCCGAGTGGCGAAGATTGCAAGCTCTGTGAAGCTATTTGCCCGGCGCAAGCTATCACTATAGAAGCAGAACCAAGGGCTGATGGCAGTCGTCGCACAACTCGATACGACATAGATATGACCAAATGCATTTATTGTGGGTTTTGCCAAGAAGCCTGTCCTGTCGATGCCATCGTCGAGGTGAGCAATGGAAGCATCCTTGTTACATGATTACTTGATTGATTGATTTCGTATATTGGCATACACCGCTTCCCCCCAAAATTAAAATGTAGTACTAACTCTCCCGGTGGAAAACACCAATGATGATGTTTGCTAGGAGTTTCTCCGTTGATTAGTTATATGCATCATGAGCGAACGTGATGAGCTGCTACAGTGCCCCCTCCAAATATTTCCAGTCAAATACCATCGACTACGTGTCCATTGCCTTAGTTTACCGTGCAGGTTGAACAAATGTGTTTAAGTGCAGTTTCCCGTGTTCATGAAGCTTGAGCTTGTGTCGTCATCATGGGTCGAAGTGAACGCGAATCTGAACACGAAGTATAACCAAGTCTCAGAACCTATCATGAAGCTTGAGCTTGTGTCGTCATCATGGACAGCATGAAGCGTAGCTCTTCGGTGGATCGCAGTGAACGCGAATCTGAACACGGAGTGTAACCAAGCCTCAGAACCTACTCTGAGTGACAAGCGGAACTGTACTGAGATACATGCTCTCCATCGAAAACCAGATCAATGCCTACAATGGCTTTGGCACCTATTGTGCGTAAGAGGCAACGGGTCAGATAAAGGATAAGCCTCCAGTCATAAAGATGGCATGAAACTGCTGCAATCAATGAAAAATGTGCTGGTTTGTTCACGCACCAGTGCGAAGGGTAAAAAGCGGTAGCGGTCTAGTTAAATCATAATTGGAAATGTCGCCACTAAGGATGTGCTGGTGCATAGTTTCCAGGTTATTTCAGCGCATTTACAGCCGTTTGCTACTGTCACTAACAGGACCTGACGAGTGTGACGATATACAGTGCTCATTCGACCGTATTAGGTGGCTCGGATAGAGTGCCCTAAAACCTACACACTATCAGGTCAGGGTCCGGTCTCTTCGCGATAAGATCGTGCAACCGAAGGTCGAATGCACTATGGTCAGTTTACGTCGATGACCAATTCGTCATCGTTTCTACCGGCAGGTATACCGGGCTTCGTTGCTCCAATTTATGAGGAGGAAGCTCGATCCACGAACGAAATCTGTGCGACAGAGGGGACACCTCGGGTTCTACCATTATCATCATCATCATCATCATGAACGGTACGACATCACTGTTCAGCATTGATTCTTAGCTGCCGTACAACCGTGAGTTAATTGAAAGCCTTGTTGTGGAGAAAAGAATAAAGATGGATATGGAAGGGACTTAGTGATCCCTTATTGCAATCCTTCCGAACTGTCTACACCTCATCCAGGTAATCTGGATAGAAACTGATAGCAAAAACGCCGCTGACGTGGATTAGCAGCCATATGTTGCAGCGCCTCCAACCAGGCCCAGTGGGGACCACGCAGTCCCCATCCTGGTAGGTGCTTGTCGAAAACCTGAAGACGTCTCCGTGTTGTTGCTCCAACAGGCCAAGTCTCAACCACACAACAAAACCGCCCGTACTGTAGTTTGATGCACGTCCCTTGGGATTCAGGGATATACCGCTTTGACGCCATAGGTGTCTCAAATTACCAAACGCGATCCGAGTCCTGCAGATTCGCGCATTTACCTCATCTCTCACACAACGGTCAGAACCAATACAACTTCCAAGGTACGTAAACCGCTCCACAATTTCGGGTACCTCCCCTGGATTATAGGTGGTGTGTTCAGTGAATGCATGTCAATGAGCATGATCTTACTTTATGGGTGCAAAGTGCATGCCAAATGACTTTGGTCAGTTCGTCCAAAAACACCTTCGCCTTCTTGGGAGATGAGAGAGATATCGTATGCATATTCCAGCTCGACAAGGCTTTCGTGAGAGGCTATTTGAACACGGAAGCCTTGGATACCTTCCAGCGTTCGTATCATTATCTCATCGATCACGAAAGCAAGTGATAAGGGAGAGAGTGGGCACTTTTGCTGCGCATTGTTTTGTGTACAGAAGCTCTCGGAGAGCTCTGCGTATACTTACACGTCCGGAAGCCTGAGAATACAAAACGTATTCTGTTCACAAACTTCCGAGGCATTCCTTGATCGGGAAGCGTGTCAAAGACAAATCAGTCGAATGCGTCTGGGAAATTCAGGAAGACAAAAATCGTGGGTCGTTTGTACGTATGGCGGTGAAATGGCTCGGTGGTTAGAGCACGAATTCAATGACCAGAAGGTCCGTGGTTCGAACCCGACCTCTGACTCTCGATTTCCCCCGTCCAAGCTTGGACTGCTTGGTAGTATCCCAACCCTCGTGCCTTTTTCAGGTGGCATGGCAGTTATGCACCGAAAGGTTGCTACGGCTAAACGATGGCGTTGTTCTACCACCTGACGGAACTTGGAGATTTGGTCAACGCAACCCCTACCAGGCCGGAGTCCTTGCTGCCCTCGTGTCAATGTTTCTCGAGCCAACATAAGGCGACGAAGCGCAAGTGACGCCAGCAGTCTTGTTACAACGGGTCAGGCTGATCCCTCCGTGATTATCAAGCTCACCACGATCCCCTTTTTTGAAAACGGGTGCTATCACTGACTTCCTTCAATTGTCTGAGACAGACCCAATTGCAGGCAAACAGACCAGACAAGCGCTGACCGAGGGTTTCACGCCCGTCTTTGAACAATGCGGGTGAAAAGTCATCCGGACTAGAAGCTCGGTGGCGCTTAAGAGAACATCTGTTTCACGTTTACTGTCCAGGGTTCTACGTCAACCACGGGCTCCAGCTGCGTGGCAGATTGTGGCAGAGGTAACCGTTGTTCGAAGTATTCGAACCATTGGTGGAGGCCGTCTTTTTATTCTAGATACCATTGGTCGAGACGCTCTTTATTCTAGATGGTCACTCCATCCTAATCCTTGCTAACTTCGCTCACAGAAGGTTTCTGGGGACCGGTCGCGCGGATCAGCTGAAATAATCTGGCATTACCGACTTTCTGGGCCCCTTTCATTTCCTTGGCTTTCTGTGTCCACCAAACTCCACGGTCGGTTCGGACACTCACTTCCACTTGACATCTGATAATTCGTCGCGTCAATTTGTGTTCGGGACCTGCTGGGATATTTTTCCGAGATTTAACCAGTGTTACCGTGCGATCTGATATCCAGTGCTTGAGTGCGCCTGGTGGTGCTGTGCCACTGGCAAAAGTCACAGCACTATGCAGAGGTGGTAATCTCGTTGCAGTATGAGTTCACATCTGATAGTGGAGCATTTGAAAAGACTAAAAGACGATTCTGATAAATTCGTGTAACATCCGGATCTGCCAGACTATTTTCCCGCACCTAACGCGGTCCTCAGCGAAGTGACTCCAGTCAAGAGCGTGGTCGGAATCCACAAATATGTTCCAAAACCACCGTCAGTCAGTTAGTGATCCACGCCATCGGTAGCCCGTAGCAACGTGATCGATTTGAGCTCGTTGCCGGCAAGCCGTTGGAGGACACCATGAGGCCAGACGACTTCGGCTATTTCAGAAGTTGGTTTTGCATAAAAGTGGGATGAGTTGGCTCCCTCGTGAAAGCGTGAATTTATTGACCTGAAAATCCGTGGTTCGAACCCGACCTCTGCCTTTCGACTTCCCGTGTCTAGGCTTGGGCGACCTGGCAGTATCCCAGCATTCGTGCTTCCTTCGGGTGGAATGGCAGTGTTACAGCTGAACGGTTATCTTTATTATTTATTGTCAGAGCGTGGACATTCAAGGCGGCGTAATAGACTGGTTGTCGGGACTTGAAGATTGATTTCGAGATGCCTGAGGATGTCGGCGCCGGACAGCGCGCAGGTGTTGCTTGCAAAACCGTTGCAGAATGAACGGAGTCCTCAGTCCTAAAAAGTCTGCAATGCTACAGTTATATATGGGGTGGGGAGATGGGGTGGAAAAGTATGTGAAAGAGAAAGAATGGAGGCTTCAGCATTAACTTGTTTTCGCTTATTCGCCCTGCTGTATGCAGCGTGACCCGGCTGATGGCACCACGCGACGGCCTATGTCGCATCAGTTTATTTTTATTTGCGCAATTCATGGCTGATCGGGAGCTTGGATACTATCAGGGCACCCACATCTAGATACGAGGACGATTGGGTTTTCCAACCAAAGTCTTTGGCTCAAAAGCCTGACCGAATAGCAGCGGTGTTTAGCTGAAAGCTCGGGTACATTGCTATTTTTGCGAAACACGTCGCCACACATGTTCCAACCCCCAACCTGGAGGACCAGGAAGCTGTGTTCGTCTGACCTCTAACCATTAACCAACCTGGTATGGGAGAACCTTAGAGTGTCGCGCAGACATCTGCCAGTATAGCTCAATGGGTCGCCGAGGTACACAAGCCGCCGGACCACGATGAGGTCCGGTCTCTACGTGACGGTTGAGCTGGTCTATGCTCACTGTACAATCCTTTCAGTTGATGAGAATTAATCCCGCGGCTTCCACTATTTTGTCGGGTATTGTGGAAAACTCACCTTTCAGTCGGCAACGTTTGCTCGAAGATGGTTTTGGCATCCTGGAGCCATCTGTTTGATCAGTGGCTCGAAAACATACCGGTCTTGAACCTTCAATGAATTTGGTCCAGCATTGTTGCTTCGGTCTGAGTGAGGAATAACCACGTGTTTCCAAATGTTTCCAAATTGGTCCAATGTGAAAACGTAACAGTGTGCGGAACGACTCCCACCACAGTTAGGCGAGCGATCTTTCATTAGACTATATTATTCTGCCAACGGTGACTTCTGGGGTCTCATGTAAACTTGAGATTGGGATTCGCAACGTCTCCCAATGAGTTATCCCCCAGTATCTTTTTCATTGGTCGAACGACAATGCAGCAAACTTCAGCTGATTAGAGACTATCTACACACACTTCCAACAGTTGAATGGCAAATTCCATCTCGACCAATCGTAAGTTGCTTTAGTTCACGTCTGAAGGAATTTGACACCATCGACTTGCAACCATCGAATACTTCATACCATCACAAAATATGAGGTAAATGAAGCGGGCCCTCTGAGTATCTTCAAACAGATATCGAACAATTCCGGCCCGAGCATTT